TATACTATCACTGAGAACTCCTTTTTATATTATTGGCGTTATTGCCTCCTATAAAAAGAGTGTTAAAAGAAAACTTGGGAATTTTTTTATTCTATGCCCTTATTCGCGGCAATGATATTTTTAGAGGTTATTTCATCATCCAAGCTTAGATCTTTGCAGAAAAGGCTTTATCTTTACAGTAAAGGCAGACAAGGACTCAACTTGAAAGCCTTTCCTTCTCAATCCTTCTGTTTTGAAGGGGTGAAAGGATAAGACCGAGTGGAACTCAGTGTGTGAATTGTACCCCTTTGCCTTTGTCTCCCCTCTCCTGATGGAGAAATCTACTTGATTGAGGAGAAAGTTGTCTGAAAATTGTCTGCCTTTTAGAAAAAAAGTCTAAACTACAAGAAACTGCTTCTGAACTTCTCTATGCAAAATGAAAAATAAACCTTAGTGGTTATCCTTATTCCAGTTTTGCTTTAAAAGAGAATATTTATCTTGAACATTCTAGTATAATAGGTCAGGTAAACATTCCTTTAGAATTTGTTTCTGTTAACATCCATTGGACTAGTTCTGTACCAAGGATAAGCTACTACTGCAGGGTGACTGGGTATCTACAATATGAAATAGAATGGAAAAGAAGTGCTGCTATAGGAACATAAAATATATCAAACCATATTATTAATAATAAGTTATCGACATTTATACGGTACGCTATAGTTTACACACTGCTTTAGAATATGATTCTTACAATTCTTACACCTTAAAGAAGGTGATACAGGTTTTATTTTCCTTATTTCACAGATGAGGAAACTACAAGGTTAAAGGAATTAACCAAGGTCACTCAGCTAGTGAATTTAAACCCAGGTCTTTGAACCTAAATCCAGCTCTCTTTCCACTCTACTGTTCTTCTCATGGTCATGGAATATTTAAAACACTAACTAGATTTGTAGTCATTATTTTGGCTTGCAACATTAAAACAGTGGTGCAGTTTTATTTAGCCAGTCTTCAGATAGCTTTAGTGGTAAAAATTCCTACAAATGGTGGTTATAGTTACATAGGAAATCATGAAGCTGTCTACATCCAGTGGTATTATGGTAAGCATTATGATCTCAAACACAGGTATAGACAGGGAGAGTGTGTGTGTGTGTGTGTGTTGTGTGTGTGTGTGTGTGTGTGTGTGTGTGTGTGCGTGTGTTTTGACTCTGCCCGTAAGATTAGGGTAGAATAACACTGAAGGACATGAAGTTCAAGGCAAAGCCCCTAGTCCCAGTCTTTAGACTCTGTCCAAGTATAATAAACAGGAAGTTCCTCCCCTTAGGACATGGAGTTCATATACTGCCATCCCTTGCTCTCTGCACCCTAAGAGGAATCTTAGGGGGTAAGGGTAGCTAATAGTACTCTCAGAACTCTTGTCCAGGTTTATAAGCTAAGGCATCCCAACATAGTGCCAGAGGTTTGACATGTCAAAGGGAATTCCTGTGAGAGGCAATAAGGAAACAAATACTGTGGGAGGAAGAAGCGGGTAAAGGCAGTCAGGTTCATTCAGTGCGTACTTCTGACCAGAAACAGCTTGGGCAGAAGGGATGCTACCTTGGTGGGTCATTCACAGGTCAATTGTAGTGGGAGAGATTTGGCCATATAAGAGTGAGGGGGCCTTGTATAGGGGCTAAGGTGGGATCATTCCCTTTACTTGCCCCTTACTGGGATTAGACTTGACCAGAGCCTGTTGGTGGGTGTAGGACATAGCTTTTGATACGCTGACTAGGCAACTCCAAGATGGTGGGGAAGGATCCCAATAATGAAGGGGCAGGGGCTCTTTTGGCCGGCAAGCAAGACACTCTAGAGCAGATGAGTCAAAGGTCAGTAGGGGTGGGGGGGGTGAAAATATACAAACACTGTATTAGACTTCTTCCATCAAGTTGTCTTTGCAGTCTTTGACTGTTTCCTTGTTTTTATGAACTATTATTACCTATATAATTGTACAATAATGACAGTCAAATGTGAAATTCCATTTTCAGCTTAACCTAAAAAATGAAATAGTATGTATTTCAAAGGAACACACTAATCATTGTGTCCTTGTATAAGAATTTTTAAATGATTATTTAAGACCAACTTTTGCAAGACTTGGTGAATTTTTTGCCTCTGTGGGGGTTTTAGAGGCATTATGTTTCATGACTGCAAATCAATTTGCAAAAAGTCTACTGAAGTGTAATACTTTAATATAATTTAACATACCCATGTACCAGGGTGTGAAGTTGGATTTTTTTTCTTTATTCAGAAATAAGCTGACAGTAGCATTCAAGTATACAGTTCAGTTTATCTCTAGTGAGAAGTCTTCTAAAATTAAGTTAAATATAGTACAAAGGGTAGAGAGAATCAATAATATTTCATTTCTTTTAAGTAAGGTCTTTATGTATTTGCTTGGTATGCTTATAAATTTCTCAGTATAGGAATATTTTATAATATATGTCAGTTATAGATTTAACCATAATAAAAAAATAGTACCCAGTTCTGAAATATCTTTTATCTGTCCTATAGAAAACTGCTTAGCTAAGTCTTTATATAGGAAATAGATGTTTAATATATTTTTTAAATAACTTTTTAATACTGTGAATGTTAATGTAAAAGTAGTAAAACCTTAACACATAGTAAGTATCTTGTACCACTTGCTGTGTATAGCACTGTGGCATAATAGATTTCTGGATTTGAGACCAAGAACCTTTGGTTTGAATCTAAGCTCAGATACTTATTAATTATATGATTATTGTCAAATTATTTCACCTCTCTGAACTTCGGTTACCTCATCTGTAAAATAATTATAATAGTTAACATTTATATAGTACTTACTATGTTCCAGGCACTGTGCTAATATAAGTGCTTTATAATTATTATCTCATTTGGTCCTCACAACAACCCTGGTAGGTAAGTGCTGTTATTATCCCGATTTTATAGATGAGGAAACTGAGACAAACAGATGAAGTGAGTTGTGCAGGGTTACACAGGTAGTAAGTGTTGAAACTGAATTTGAAATCAGGTCTTCCTGACTCCAGACTTGGTACTCTATCTGCTACAATCACCTAGCTAAAAATAATACTTGTATGACCTATTGCAACAGGGAGCTTGTGGGAAAAAAAAACAACTTTGTAAATGTCAAATTGATATGTAAAATGAATTACCAGCAATTAAATAATTGGGAATTCTTCTGCTTACTAGAAAACACTGCACACAGTAGGTAGCTCAGTATATATACTTCAGTTCTCCAGTGGAACTGTAATTTCCTCATAAGTTCCTGTTAATGATACAGATCATGAGCTATTTATATTTGCCTATCATGTTTGATTCTTATCCATATCTTTCCATAAATTCTTCATGAGGTTTGGGAGGGGTCATTTTACATTGCTTGTATACCTTTGGAACATGAGCAGTACTCATTGATTATTCCTCACTCTTGCTACTTTATTGGCCCATATTTTCTGGTCATACATCTCTCTGGTGACATCTTTTATGCCATTTCACTTGTACAATTTTGGTTTTAGTTGTATTGCAACCTAATTGCAACTTCCCTGTGCCTTTCCATTGCTTTTTGGGTGAACTTCAACTTGAATTCTCAGGAAACTGATATTCTATGACTTGTAGTCATGTAGCCCTACTAGAAGAATGTTGTTAAAACAATAGGCTTTTATTTAGGGAAGAATTATCGTGTTATTGAAAATCCCATGTTATTGCCTACTCTCCTCCTTTTCAACTCATGGCTTAGTTTGTTGGCCCATGAACAATATTTGTCTAAGATATATGTACTAATAATGGACCACCTCTTTGGATTTTTTATCCAGTTGTATATCATAAACATGAGACATTCTTTATCCACTTAGTTTTTCTAATTTAGATGGTTAGGTGGAATCCTCTTAAATGATTATAAATGGCATTTAGGAGTCTCTGCAGTATAGTTATACATAACTATCAATAATGTAATTTTCAATTATTTTAACATTTTTGTGGTCTAAAGATTTTCATATTGCAGTGACAGTTGAAGCCACATTACCAAATATAAGGATTGTTACAGCAGTTTCTACAGTAGCATTAACAAATGAATAATAAAAATGACCAGAGTGTTACCGTTAGAATATTAGAAATGAGCATTGAGCAATTATCTTTTTAGTGTGTCAATAAATTCAAAAGAGCTCTAGGTGTTTCTGTTGTTAGGTCTTTGGAACAGTTTCTTATTTACAGAAATATCCAAAACAGGGGAGTACAAATTAACTATAAATCATATTACTGAAATTGTACTATTATTATCACATATGGGATGGTTATGGCAACAATAATACAGTAAGAATTTATAAGCCCATAATAAAAAAAATCACCCCCATTTATTCATTTACTTTAAGGTTTACACAGCACTTTACAAACATTATCTCATTTGGTCCTCACAACAACCTTGGAATGTTGGGTGCTATTGTTTCTATGTTATAGAAGAAGAAATTGAAGCTAAGAGAGGGTCTTACTGCTTGTAAGTTGTCTGAGGCAGAATTTAAACTCGGGTCTTCCTGATTCCAAGTTCAGTATTCTTTCCACTGATGCTGTTTCTTCATTTGTAAAAGGTCATGCATGTTTCCAGTTCCTGAAGGATGTGCCAACATTGAATTTACTTAGCTATGTACCTTTTTTTCTGCCCAAGAAAATGTGGAGTTTTTGGGAACTGGGACTAATTCATTATTGTCTTTGTATTCCCGCTTCTTATCATGGTGCTTGGTATATAGTGGATATTTAATAAATACTTGTTGAATAAATAAATGAATGAACAAATGGATTTACTATGTGGGATCAAAGGAGAGTTGAGACCTACTTGTAATTCCTAAAAAAATTCTTCAGCTCCTAGGGAATGTCAATGGATGGGTTAATTTATATGGCAGGTTTAATTTATTTTACAGGGTTTTTTTATGTTTATGTTAAGTCTAGCAATTAATAAGTATTCTTTTAACTTTTTTTGAATGTCATCTTCTCTCTTATTTTTTCAGGAAATATTTTTATATTTATCCACTGAACTAAAAAAGCTATCAGAACTCCACAATGAAAGACTGTTGGATACATCTCATAATCCTATATCTCTAGGTAATTTTCCTTCTTATTTCTTATAAATATTTGTGACTTAATGAGCCCTAAACTACTTTCTAGAAGGAAATAAATCATTTTTGCTAGCTGGGTAGACTTTCTGGTTTCATGAATTTCACTAACTAAATCCTCTGATCTAGTGAAGTTTCACATAACTTCTGCGTGACTTATTTCTAGGGAGTCTCCTACACACTGAGAAAATCTCAATCAGAACAGATATATTCATCATAACTGCTTAGACTGCTCATGTATATCCATTATGGCAAGTAATAGCAGGAATTCATTGTATAATATATATTAAACCTTATTTCTGACAGTCTTTTTTTAGAAGTTGTATTGTTTTTGTACCAGTCATTTTTCCTTAATTTCTTTTCCCCATTCAGAAGCCTTCTCTTTTAAAACAAAAAAATGTAAGCAAAAGCAAATAATGTAGTTGACTATGTCTGAGAATGTGCAGTGTTTAGGATCTGTAGTCTCTCATCTCTCCTGAGAAGCAGGAAGAGATAAAAGTAAGAAATTCTGCCAAATACTAAGCAAATCTGCCAGTCTCCTAGCAACAGTATGGGGGGGGGAGCTAGATTTGTTTTTTTCTTATGTCATTGATATATAATTTTGGAGAGAGAAAAGTTTAGCCTTATAATTTTTATTGATGTAGGGAACTCTTGTAAGAAAATTCTCTTTACCAGTGCAGATTGACAGTTTACAAACTTAGAAAGTAGGTGCACTGAGAAGTTTTTTTCCTAGGGTCACAGAGCCAGACATGTGACAGACAGAACTTGAACCCAAGTCTTCCTGACTCCAAAGCTGCTGCTTTTATTCACTATAAATTCTTTAAAATTAAAAAGAGAAATGTCTGTGAAAAAAGGGAAAAAGAACTATTTTTACAAAAATATTTACAGCAGCTCTTTTTGTGGTGGCTAAGAATTAGAAATCAAGAGGATGCCCTTCAGTTGGGAAATGGCTAAAGAAGCTGTGGTGTATGATTGTGATGGAATATTTTGCTATAAGAAATAACAAGTAGGATGATTTCAGAAAAACTGGGAAAGACTTACATGAACTGATATAAAGTGAAGTGAGGAGAACCAAGAGAACATTGTCCACAGTAACAGCAATATTGTATGATGAACTGTGACTGACTTAGCTATTCTTAACAATACAGTGATCCAAGACAGTCCCACAGAACTAATGATGAAGCATACTATCTGTCTCCAGAGAAAGGACTGATAGTGTTTGAATACAGACTGAAGCATGCTATTTGTCATTTTTTTCTTTTGTTCTTTTTCTTTTATTCAAGTCATCTTGTACAGAATGACTAATATGGAAATGTTTTACATGATTGCACATGTATAACCTATATCTGATTGTTTACTGTCTCAGGGAAAGTGAGGGTAAGAGAGGGAGGGATAGAATTTGGAACTCAAAACTTTAAAAAACCTGCAAATGTTTAAAAATTACCTTAACATGTAATTGGGGGGGAATAAAATACGTATTTTTAAAAATATATGCAGGATGTCCCAAAAGTCTTAGTGCAGCTTTAAGTTGTAGGTGGGATACACAGGGCTAATTCAATATTAGGAAAACTATTAACATATTATATCAGTAACTATAACTATATAACAAAAACAACAAAAATCTTATGATTATATCAACAGAAATAATGTTAAACGTACTCAAGCAATAAACTCCCTGAAAATTAGAATAGAGCAAACAAATCAGTTAACTCCATAAGACAGCATGAAATACTAGAACAAGATCATAATATTCTGAAAATGTAAGATCATAACCAACTGGAAATTGAAAAACATGTCAAGGCCAGATCCTTTAAGAAGAATTGAACTCCCTGAAAATGGATTTTTTTTTAAGACCTGGACACTATTTGAAGAAATCACAAATTAAAACCTTTCAGATCTCTTAGAACCAGAGGGCAAAGTTAAGATGGAAGGAATTCACTTAATACTTCCTGAAATATTCCCCACCACCTCCTCCCCTCTAAAAAAAAAAAGAAAATCCCAAGGATATCCTTGCCCTAATCTAGAGTATCCTTGTCCGTGAAAAAATATTGCAAGCATCCAGAAAGGAATTCAAGTATGAAGGAACCACAGTCACGATCATACAATACATGATAGCTTCTACTATGAACGTCAGGAGATTTTGGAATACAGTACTAGGAATTATAACTTAACCTGCAAAGCTGAATATCATCCCTTAGAGGGGAAAAATAGACCTTTTATGGAATAGAGAACTCTAAGAATTTCTGATAAAAAGACTAAGCTGAGTAGGAACTTTGAAATACAAACACAAGAGTCAAAAGAAACAAAGGAAGGTAAAGTTACTGCAACAGTTGGAAGGGTGTGTATGATGATGCATTGCTAACATTCTAATAGGAGTAAAATGTGAGATAGTTCTCTCAGAGCTTTAATGTCTTCAATGGGATTGAAGGATTTAAGTAAGAAAGAAAATTTGGGTGTGGATTCTGTTCTGAGGGTTTGAAGATAGATAAGAGGTGGACGAAAGGAATACACTAGACTGAGATAAGAGTGTGGAACTTGCTCATAATTGGAGTGTATAAAAAAGCTATACAAAAATGGAGGAAAGGAGTGGAAAGGAAATAAATCTTGCTCTTACCTGAAATAGACAAAGGAGAATTGAAAACACACTTAGTTTGGTTTAGAAACATCCTAGACTCAGAGGGAAAATAAGTAGGGATAAGGAAAGAAGAGCGGAATAAGAAAGGCATGATGATACCAGAGAAGTAGTAGCCTCTAATAAAGCAAACCTTCTGATCCTGAAGGGGAGATTAAAAGGGAAAGAAAAGAATTAGTATCTAAGGGGATGGAGAATACTCTTCAACTATAGAATAGCAGAACAAGGGAAAGAAGGAAAAAAAGAAAAAATTAATTGGGATCTAAGGGGTATGGAGATACCCATCAACTGGAGAATGGCAGAACAGATTATAGTATATGAATGCAATGGAATATTATGATGTTGTAAGAAATGATGAAAGAATTTCATAGATACCTGAGTAATATGCAAAGTGAAGGAAACAGAGAACCAGGACTGCCATTTTATGACAACATAAACATTGTAAAGAAAAATAACTTTGAAAGTTTTAACTAATCAGTGAGGTGTACAATCACAATTCCAGAGGACCACTGATGAAAGATGTTCTCTATTTCCTGAGAGAGAGAGATCATGGAGTCAAGGTTTCAAAAAAAGTATTGATTTTTGAACATTGGCACCATGGATTTATTTTCCCTCACTTATTCTAATTTGTTAAGAGGGATTTTTTTCTCTCAAAGGTTGATGAGAAGTGACTAGCACAGTGATGCCCCCTAAAATAGTTCCATTGAAACATTTTTCAAAGTGTTTCAGTGAACAAAAGAAAGCAACAGTTTGAAAGTAATGTATGGAATTTGTTATATACTTTTTTTGAAAAAGTGTTATAAAATAGTGATTCATGGTTTCATATGCAATGTTTTTATGTTCTGTATATACAAGAAAATATTATTCTAGTATTTAAGTTCATAATTTAAAGAAATCAAAACAAAGATAAATGTTCCCAGTTTTCTAAAAAGCAAAAACTGTTATGAAACTCTTTAAAAATAAAAAAAAGCTACATCTTATGAATGATGAACAAACTAAAATTCAAGTCTCAGAATTATCATTGTTCAGTCCTTTCAGTTGTGTCCTATTCTTCGTGAACCCATTTGGGTTTTTTGGAGGGACAAAGATACTTGAGTGGCTTGTCATTTTCCTCTCCAGCTTGTTTTACAGATGAAGAAACTGAGGCAGTTAAGCTACTTGCACAAGGTCTCACACAAATAAGAAGTGTCAGAGGCTGGATTTGAACTGAGGTCTTCCTGATTACATTATTTCACCTAGCTGTCCAGTCTCAGAATTGTCTTTTTATAAATGAGGCAGCATGGCTTAGTAAAGAGCACTGGGCTTAAGAGTCAGAAAACCTTGATTTGTGTCCCAGCTCTGACACTTTCTAGCTATGTGAACATGGATAATTTATTCAATTTCTATGAGCTTCAGTTTACTCATTAAAAAATGGTTTTAATAATTCCCATACATTCTTCCTCACAGGGTTGTTTTAAGAAACACTTTGTAAACCCTAAGGTATTATATAAATATTGTTAATTGTTAATATATTTAACACAGCACGGTCTCATTTTATACAATTCAGGTATTTATAGGTAGGAAAAAAGTACTTAAGATGTATATGTTCTGCAGTCTGGAGTTATACCCAGAGCGTTATGAAACTGTACATACCCTTTGACCTAGCAATACCACTATTAGATTTTTTCCCCAAGGTGATCAGGCAAAAAGGAAAAGAACCTGTATGTTCTAAAATAGATATAGCAGCTCTCTGTGGTGTAAAAGAACTGGAAATTTAAAGGAAGCCCATCAATTGGGGAATGACCAAATAAGTTGTAATATATGATTGTGATGGAATACTACTGTGCTGTAAGAAATGATGAGCTGGTTGATTTTAGAAAAAAAAAACATGGGAAGATTTGCATGAAATGAGCAGAAGCAAGAGAACATTGTATACAGTAATAGTAATATTGTTCAAGGAATAATTATGAATAGCCAAATTACTCAGAGTATTATGAATGCTCAAATCAACTACAAAGGACCTATGAAGGAAGATGCTACCCACCTCCAGTGAAAGAACTGATGAAAGAAGTATGCATAGTATTGTTTTACATATATTTATAGATCTTTGTCAAGTGGTGGCCTCTCTAGTGTGGTGTAGTTTGGGAGGAAGGGAGATAATTCAGAACTTAAAATGTAACCAGAAAACAAATTTAATCTAATTTAAAAAGATGTGTGTGTTTTGCTAGCTGTTCTCTATGTATGATGTTCCATCTCTTGCCTTTATGCTTTTATGCACATTTTCCCCATACCAAGAATGCTGTCTTTTCTGTGTTTCATAGTATCTTTCAAAGCACAACTTGGATGCCATCTCCCATACAAGGCCTTCTCTAATGAACCCACTGTCGTTTCCCACCCCCATTTTACTGGCACACTCTCTTAAACCTACTTTGTATATACGTAGTCATTACTTATGTAGGTGTTATGTCTTCCTAGTAGAATGTAAATTCCATGGGGGCATGTACTACTGTCTCATTTTTTATCTGTATCCTTACTGCTTAGCACAATGACTTGTACATAGAAGGCACTTAGTAAATATTTATTGAATTGAATTGAATTGGAATCACATTTCCTGTTGACTTACAGCATAACTTCAGAGTTCTGTTAATATAGGTAAAAAAATTTTGGCAATTGGTATTGAAAATCACAATTTAAATCCTAAAATTTACTTCTAGGAGCATTGAATTTTTTTAAGCAAATATTTTATGTGCATATAATTTACCCATACAACCTCTGCAAAAGAACATAGGCTCCATATTCCACTTACATAGTCTTTGCTTAGTCAGTAAAAGCAAATATATATTAAAATACATTCCATGTAGGAAGTTTTCATAAACTGCATTGGATTTTTGAATATTTGAGCAGCTACATTGACCATATCATCATTCTCATCATTTACTTGGCTTTCTTACTAGCTGGAAAAGTTACATAGTGATACTTTTTAGACATTGAGGTGGTTATAATCAAATGAATTTGCATTGCTGTGATGTTGTTAATAGATATGCACATTGAATTTTGGCTTTATTTAATACTTTAAAACAAAATTGTCAGCTGAAAATGACTAAAAGATGATGGTCCTTGCACTTAGCACACCTACTAGGTGCTTAATAAATACTTGTTTCCTTCCCCTTCTGCTTCCCTGTTCCTGAAGTTTTTATAATTTCTGGAAAAACTAAGGCTGTCTTAAGACCCTGTTTTTCTTTATTCAGCTATGTCCCTTAAAACATTGGATGAGAATTCTGACAAAACTGTCACACAGCTTGGATCTATGCTTTTTACTAGACAAGTGTCTGGAGCCAGGTAAGCATGTTTGAGAGAGGTGGTTTGTGTTTTGAGTTTGGCTTTTTAAGCTTGATGTTTAATAACTATATTTTATGTAATAATCATATGTTAAGTATATGCTGAAGCATACTTGGAGACTATTGAAAAGAAGACTGGTTCTTTCCAGAAGTACTGTTAAGAACTTGAGTATGTCATCTAGCCCATAGTCTTCATTTTTAGATATTTTTATATTTGAAGCATTCCATTTTTTAAATTCTATTTTTTAAAGATCTCAAAGTTTAAAAAAACCAAAACTTCTCTTGGTAAATAAGATGCTAATAATTCTAACTTGATTATTTTAAGTGATTGCAAGTATAACTTTTTTGTGTTCTCATAAACACAAATGGATATTTCACCAGCAATTTTTAATAAAAGACAACCACTGTGAAGGAAAAACTTAGTTCTTGAATTAAATAGAGTGTGGAATTCCATCTCTGGGAAAATTCACTTGAAAATTTTACTGTATATCTGTGTGTATTTAGCTTGGAAGAATGTGTATAAAATCTGGCTCATTTCATTTAATCTTTTATTAGGTCATGGAGAAAAAAGAACTAAAATATTTTTATGTAACTGTTCTTTATTTGCTTCAATTAAAGAGTTTATATTTTTCTGTGGAGTGCATAAAGGGTAAGGATTTCCCACAGATGACAAGCTCTTTTACCTTTGATTATTCGGTGTTCTTCATTGGTGAACTTCTACCGTATGCATCTTAGTTTTGGTTCTTTTAAACTTGTCATTTTCACCTAATCTTCAGCTTTGTTTTTGATTGTCTTTATATAGGTTGATTTTTTAAAACTGATTACAAGTGCCTCTAATGCATAAGATTTTAGGGAAAGAGCTTGAAAGGATCTTAGATGGCCCTGAGCCTAACCTTGTCATTTTACAGATGAGAAACTGAAGCCCAGAGAAGGGATGTGACTTGGTCAAGGTCACAGAGGTAGTAGTAAGTGATAGAGGGGAGAATGAATTGAAATTCTCAGGTTTCAAAAGAAGTGCCTCTAGTTGACTGAGGCCCTCTGCTCCAAGTGTGCGAGTTTAGGTCTACTGATAACAAAAACTAGCCATGAAATAATAAAAATCACACATTAGAAACTACCCTTAAGATCTGGCTGTTATTAATTGCCTGCCTAACACCGTACCTGCTGCAAGTGTGAAAGTGGCCAGTTGGGTCAGGGACTTAACTGTCCCTTCTTCTTTATTACTTGCAATGCATCCTTAACATAGTGCTGAGGACATAGTAGAAAACAAATAAGTACTTCTTGATTGGGTGATGCAAGACATTAAAGTGGGGTTACTGGTGCCAAGTAGAAGTGGCATAGCCATGTTTTTAGGGATCCCAGAGAAATTTAGAATTGGAGTAAGGTTACATATGTATAGTAATGTTGATGTATGTGGTTTTGGGGTTTGTTCTCCACTGACATATATATGATACTTCACATTAAAATTTTGTAAATGGTATTGTGTCAATAGCATCAAATATATTAAATAGTGAATGGTTTACCAAATAAATTTTTTCTTTCAGGGTTGTGCCTCAGGGGATTCTGCAAACTATGAGTGGCTACACTTTCAAAGGCTTTTCTTCTCATGCAAGTAACTATCCTTGTGCTTATCTCAATGCCTCATCAGCAATTGGAATGAAAAAACAAGATGTAGAATTGTTCATAAAAAGGCTTGATAAGTGCTTGAAGTCAGTGAGAAAAGAAAAAAGCAAAGAGAATGGTGGTGACAGTGCAGTTGATAATTGTAACATCACTGAAGATGTGAATATTCAAGAAATGGCCTTAAATCTGGATAATGCAGTTGTTCTCGATGAATGCAAAGAAGTTTATTCCTGACATATGCAGTCTTTCTGTTTATGGTTTGAAATAAGTTTTTGAAGATAACTACAATGAATAATAATTTGTAATTTTTTTTATATTAATAATTCATTTGAAAATGTGTAGTTAATGTGCCTGAACAGAGAGTGAATTGAGTGTTAGCAAATATTATTATCTTTTGAATCTTGGGCTGTTTCATAATTATGCCTCAATCTTTATAATCTTCCACAGAATAAAATATACTTAACATTTTTCTAACTGAAAAGTAGTCAGCTATGCACTTTTATTCAAGTAGTCCTTACTAATATAAGGATAGTAAAATTGCATATAATTCTCTGAAATATTTGAACTGCTTTTTTTTCCTGACTGCCCCCTCATTTACACGTTATATATGTTCTAAGTTATGTCCTGTTGTATAGTTCATATGTTTGTTGATAAATAACCATATCCTAAGGAAGGTTGATTAAAAACATGCTTATTAGTTTGTTTTTATTAAAATAAAGAGCTTTTCAAGAAATGGTGAATTTTTCAAATTTTCTATGGTGACTTTAGTTATCTAGTTTTATTTTTTAATGAAATACTTCTTTATGGGTTCACGATGTGATGGAGTGACCAGAGCACTGAAAAGTGGGAGGCCTGGATTTTCATCTCATGTTTGTCATTGTGTGATTATGTAAGCCTGAGCAAGTCAATTAACTGCTGGGATTCAGGTTTCTTATCTGTAAAATTAAGGGATTGATATTTAAGATCCTTTTCTGCCAAAATTCTCTGATCCCAGATTCTTTGAACAAATACCTTGTATTTTGGCATATGAGAAGTATAAGTGATGGTCAACTTCAGTAGTTCCAAAAATACATTTTTATTAAAGAAAATTTTAAAATGTACCTACACTTGTTTTTCTTTAAGCTCATAATAATATTTGATCTTTTGAATCTATCTGCTGTAAGGCACCATGCTTACATAATCTTTTGTGGGGCAGCCAACACTAGGATTGATTAACTCAAGCATATTTGGATGTATGCATCTGCTAGGGTAGAAAATGAAACAGTGTGAAAATAGTTGCTTCTCATGAAGTAAAATTCTTTAACTTAATAACTGTGGTATATATAAGGTATTTGGCTTATGTTCCACATAGATCAAAATGCCAGAAAAACTCCCAATTGAGATTTGACTATACCTTTGATTTCATGATTGCATCTTTTTTGATTGATTTTAAAAATGAGAGAATTTCCTGGTACTTGAGCTTACATAAAGCATTAGTTAAACTTTCAGACTATTGTCCAACATCAGCTACAACTTATACAAGTTCCAGTAAATGTAAAAGGAATACTTTATAAACAAATATAATAATGTTTTAAAAATCTTTTATGTCTCAAAACTCTTAATTAGAAAATTTTATATTCCAAGCATCACATTCATATCTGTGTTTTCTTTTTGTTATCTTTTGAATTCCAACAATATTTTTAAAATTAAATTGCTTTTGAAATTTTGATGCATTTCACATAAATATTCATGAATAAAAACATTGTGCAATGATCATACTGGGGGTTTTTTTATTTTTATTGTTTGAAATGGGATTGTAAGACACATAAAAAACCAACCAGATGTAACAAAATCTCTAGAGCATAAGAAAGAAAATTAAGTAATAATGCAAGTGTAAATGCTGGCATTGCAGCTTCATATACGTGTAAGCCAAAATTGTTTTGTAGAAAAAGTCATCTATATTGTGGAATCATCATTTAGCTTAAGAAAAGGTAGAGCCCAGAGACTAGCAAATGTTTTAATCTGCAATGTGTCAGCAGTTCTTGGACTTCAGCTGCTGAGCAGATAATACTAATTAAAGATAAATTACATGAACTCACATATAAATGATAGATATGGTATAACATTCCTGTTCTTAGTGTATAAAGTTTGAGCTGCTATTTTTATTATCATTTTTAAAGAAGTTTTAGATTTCTGGTTTAAATTCTTATTGGCCCTAAAACAGCTTTGTGATCACAAAAATAAAAAGTATTTTGAGCATGTGTCTAACCCCAAAATATACAACATAAATGTCTTTAACATATAACGTGTTCATTAACACATGTTCATATATTGTATATTGTTAATAGCAACAGTATAACTGTAACATATGACATGTTCATGAACATGTGATCATACATTATATACCATTAATTCTTCATGGCTGAATTCATAATTCAGTTCAGTCATAATATTCCAGCAGAAGTATTTCCTGTAGGGTAAGACAGATTTCCATACCCAATTGAATGTGTATGTTATTCCCTGCTTAAGCCAAATCCTACAAGAATAAAATTCACTCATTCCCTCTCACCTTCCCCCATTTCCCCTCCACTGTAAGAGACTTTTCTGTTTTTTTTGTGAGATAATTTACCCCATTCTACCTCTCCCTTTCTTCTTCTCCAAGTATAATCCTCTCTCATCCTTAATTTTATTCTCCAGATATGACCCCTTAATCTTCAACTCACCCTGCGCCTTCTATGTATCTGTCTATCTATCTATCTATCTATCTATCTATCTATCTATCTATCTATACATACATATAATTTTTTCCTTCCAACTACCCTAATACTGACAAAGGTCTCATGAGTTATAAATATCATCTTTCCATGCAGGAATGTAAACAGTTCAATCTTAATAAGTCTCTTATGATTTCTCTTTCCTGTTTACCTCTTCATGTTCCACTTGAGTCCTGTATTTGAAAGTCAAATTTTCTATTCAGCTCTGGTCTTTTCATCAGGAATGCTTGAAAGTCCTCTATTTCACTGAATGACCATTTTTTCCCCTGAAGGATTATACTCAGTTTTGCTGGGTAGGTGATTCTTGGTTGTAATCCTATCTCCTTTGCCCTCCGGAATATTATATTCCATGCCCTGCGGTCCTTTAATGTAGAAGCTGCTAAATCTTGTGTTATCCTGATTGTGTTTCCACAGTACTTGAATTGTTTCCTTCTGGCAGCTTGTAATATTTTCTCCTTGACCTGGGAACTCTGGAATTTGGCTATAATATTCCTAGGAGTTTTCCTTTGGGGATCTCTTTCAGGAGGAGATCTGTGGATTCTTTCAATTTCTATTTTGCCCTCTGGTTCTAATATCAGGGCAGTTTTCCTTGATAATTTCTTGAAAGATGATGTCTAGGCTCTTTTTTTGATCATGGCTTTCAGATAGTCCAATAATTTTTAAATTCTCTCTCCTGGATCTATTTTCCAGGTCAGTTGTTTTTCCAATGAGATATTTCACATTGTTTTCTAATTTTTCATTCTTTTGGATTTGTTTTACAGTGTCTTGATTTTCATAAAGTCACTAGCTTCCAATTGCTCTATTCTAATTTTTAAGGAAGTATTTTCTTCAGTAATCTTTTGGACTTCCTTTTCCATTTGGCCAATTTTTCCTTTTAGGGCATTTTCTCCTCATTGGCTTTTTGGACCTCTTTTGCCATTTGGGTTAGGCTATTTTAAGGTGTTATTTTCTTCAGTATTTTTTTGGGTCTCCTTTAGCAAGCTGTTGACTTGTTTTTCATGATTTTCTTGCATCACTCTCATTTCTCTTCCCAGTTTTTCCTCTACTTCCCTTACTTGCTTCTCAAAATCCCTTTTGAGCTCTTCCAAGGCCTGGGACTGATTCATATTTTTCTTGGAGGCTTTGGATGTAGGAGCTTTGACTTTGTTGTCTTCTTCTGGTTGTATATTTTGATCTTCTTTTCACCAAAGTAAGATAATATAGTCTGACTCTTTTTGCGCTGCTTGCTCATGATCCCAGCCAATTACTTGAGTTTTAAACTCTTTGTTAAGGTAAGAGTCTGCTTCCAATGTGGAGAATGTACTGTCCAAGCTTCAGGGGTTTGTACAGCTGTTTTCAGAGATACTTGTAGGGACCTGTAAATTTTCAGTTCTTCCAAGGTGGTATGATAAGGGGTGAGGTGTTTACTCCTTTCCTGGCCTGTGACCACAAGTACTCCTTTCTGTCCTGTAACTGTGAGGAGGGTTTCCTCTCCACAGCCACTACAGGCTCCACCACGCCAGCGCTCCTCCCCATCCCAGCACTACCACCAAGAACTGTGACCCAGATCCAAACAGGGACAAAGCAAGAGATTGCTGCATCAACACTGGCAAGGAGATCCCTGCAATCCCTCTCTGATCAGCCACTGGATTCCCCCTCAGTCTATGGGCTGGAAGCTGGGAAGCAGCTGCCCCCCCCCCCACCATGCTTTGGGGAATGGAGCTGAAACTCCCCTTTCCCTTCTCAGCACCAACAAACAGACTTTTCCCACTGACCTTCTAAGTTGTCTTTGGCATTAGTAGATTGAGGAGTCTGGAAACCTCCACAGCTGCCCTAGATTCAGTCCTCTGAGGCCTGCTCCAGGTTCATGAGGCCTGCATGCCCACGCTGTGCTGAGCTTCCAGCCTGGCACAATAAACCTTTCTGATCAACCATCTAGGTTGTCTTGGGCTAGAAATTTGTTTCACTCTGTCTTTTTGTGGGTTCTGCTGCTTAAGAATTTGTTTAGAGCCATTTTTTATGAGTATTTGGAGGGGTTTGGGGGAGAGCTCAAGCAAGTCACTGCTTTCACTCCGCCATCTTGGCTCTGCCTCCTATTAAAGGATTTTCTAAATCATCTAGTCCTTTATTTGGAAATGCAAAAATTATACCTATCTGTGTCATTGTCCATTTCAGATTTGCAAGGCCTCGTATTTGAATTCTATAGGTATAATTTTAATTTCATAAAATTAATGTGCACTAATTGGAATCCCATTTATATTCCCCATTGAAATCTAATTTATCCTGTAGGGCTTTGACCATTATTGTTCTAGTCCCTGGGCCAGCTTTAATTTTAAAAGTATAATTGATTTTAGATAAATTATCTGAAACATTTCAGAAAACAGCTTTTTCAGAGCTTTTATTTGGGAGTCTTTCAGTTTCCTTTTGTATTTAAATTTGAAAATCCCTTCAGACTCATGTAGAATATAATTTGCTTTTACTTTTATTTTATACAAGTGAAATTTCAGGTCACAACACAGGAAAGCTAACATGATGTAGCAGAGAGATAGGGACTGAACCTATGATCTGGGTGATAGAGAACTCCCAAATGAGGAAATTCCTCTACTAATGCAAGTTGGCACCGTTTCTGTAGTAAGGTGGTTAAATGACTTAACATAGTCACATAACGATTATTTGTGTCAGAGGTAGTATTTGAACCCAGGTTTTCCTGGCTCCAAGGGCCAGCTCTCTATCCATGAGGACACTGCTGCTGGAGACAGACATAGATGGATTGACATTGATAAAACTGTATGTGCATATACAATAGAGACCTGTACATAATTTATATTAATTGATCAAAGTTTTTGATGCAATCAGCAGATCATAGTAAATCACTCAATAAGGTTGTTATATTAAAATTCATGATGGAATTACTAGTTATATTAGTTTTGCTGTTTAGTTTCTGGTCTTTTCCCTATTACTTGCGGAAAAGCAGCCAGGCTAGCATTATTTAATCAGTTCTACACAACCATGCTTGAAAATGCAGCAAAACCTAATTGTTCTTGTTAGACTATTTAGAACTTTAAAAATGATGAACATGGTTCAGCAGGCAGCCCACACCAAAAGTAATTCAGAAAAGTATGCTATTGATTATCCCATAGATAAAAAATAACCACACATGATGTATCATAATGTAACCATTATCTTATTATAGGTTAGTCTTGAAAGTCTGTAATCACACACATATGTATATGTATATATAAAATCACATATGTCCTGGGTGGCCATGACCCAGTGCTTGACAATTCATAATTGTCTCTTAAGGTCTAATGGTATAATGGAAGGTCGATTCACTTGCATATTGCACTTTTGGCATTGTGTCTGGTTTGTGTGTTTGTATGTACACATAACTACATATCTAGATGTATACATAGAGTAATAGTAATTCCTGGTTGTCACTAAATTCTAATGCTAAGTAATTGGAAAGTCATAGTGGATACTGCATCAAATTTAGAGTAAAGGTGGTGGCCTCGCACTTTGTCTTTCTTACAACAGAGACAATTGGGGGTTCTATGAATCTAGCCTTAGATTTCCAGGTTTGGAAGAAATTGATATTGTCTGTCTAGGTCACGGGTGGGGAACCTGTGGCCTTGAAGCCACATGTGACCTTTTAGGTCCTTGGGTGCGGCCTTTTGACTGAGTCCAGGTTTTACAGAACAAATTCTTTTTATGAAGTCAGTAGACTAGGAGGCGAAAAGTTGGAGGGAGGTAGTTCAGCAAAGGGAGTTTCTTTCTAGAAGAGGGAAAGTCAGCTATTAGTGGTACTGTACATCCCAGTAAAATCAAACACAAGTACCTACCATGAATT